GTGAGAACAACAGGTAGTCCATAACAACCTGGGTTATGCTCACATGGCTCATGTGGCTTTTCATCATCCCCTATAGTATAAAGGCGAGGATTTGACAAGCTGCAAAACGGCCATTTGCCACCAGGGGGCAGCTCAGGGAACGAGTTCTCCTGCAGTTCAAATTCTCCTATTGTTTGGGGGGGCCCGGAGTTGGCCCCGCCCTCGTTTCCCTGGCTACAGTCGGAGCCTGGTTGTCCCGCCTGGGGGCGTGAGCGACACTGATTAGCCCAATGAAAACCCTTCTTGCAGATAGGGCATTTTTTGGAAGGACGGGCTGCACTCCTTTGAACAGAACGGCATTGCGCTCTGAAATGGCCTTCTCTGCCACACCCAAAGCATCTCTTACTAGCAGCAGGATTATTAGCCTGTTGGAATGTCTGTACTGCAGCTGCTAGCAAACGTGCCTTATGGGTTTGTGATCCAACATTCTGACACACCCGAAGCATAGTATGTATATCAGTATCTGGATTATTATAAATGGGTGTGAGGGCCGTTTTACAGTCCTCATTTGCATTTTCAAACGCTAGCTGCTTGAGCAATAATTTTCAAGCTCTAGGACTGTCGATTTGGCGTTCCACTGCCCGCATTAGTTTATTAATGAAATCAGTATATGGCTCTGTAGCGCCTTGCCTTATATTAACGAAGCTGGATAATGAATTGTCTCCAGGCTCTGGGATCTTTTTCCAGGCTTTTACAGCTATATTTGCCACTTGAGTCAAAGCCTGATCGGTTAACGCAACTTGTTGAACGGTCATCGCGAAGGCTCCCTCCCCCATTAGCATGTCCTCTGTGATGTTAATGTTATTCATAGCATTCTGCACCGCCTGTGCAGTCGCACCCTGCCGCCAAGCCTCCATACAAAGGAGGCTTTGAGCGGGGGGGAGGAGAGAGCGGAGGATCATTTTCCAATCCATGGGCGTTAGCCTCTGGAGGGACATGCCTTCAAGCAAAGCTCTAGTAAATGGTGCTTGAATACCATTATCCCGGATTGATCGCTGTAACTCTTTTAAAGTTTGCAACGGAAGCGGTTCGTATCCATCCGGAACAGCTTGCATGCCTCTTCCCCCCGGGGGCCCCTCTGAGCACGGGAAACGCTGCTGGAATCTCTTGCGATCCCGGATCCCCTTCCTCCATAATTGCTGCTTGCAAGGCAGCAGCTAACGCAGCTGAACGCTGCATCGCAGGGGCCAGGGTCACCGCAAGTTCCTCATTTTCCGATCCCAGATCGTCAGGCGGTTTAGACGGCGGAAGATGGCGGCGCTCCTCATATAGAGGAGGAGGAGGAGGGGCTCTAGGGATCGGGACCGGCGTGGGGGGTAAAATTCGCGGCAGGGGTGGATTTAGCACGGTTTCAGCTTCCAGTTGTTGATTAAATAATATATTAGTCGGCGTTAGTCCTTTTAAACAAGCCCGGACTTTACACCACGTGAATAAAATCCTGGAAGTTATTCTGGGATGATCCTGAAAACAGGACCCAATTTTACACCAATGTTCAAGCTTCAACGTGCCTGCCTCCAGAACCCAGGGGCAAACGTCATCAATTGCTTTAATTAAATCTTGAACTTCACTTTCAGTGACAGAATGTCCCTCTTTAGTAAGTAGAAAATGGAGGTCCTTTTTAAACGCCTGCTTCTTGGCAGACAATGAAGAGCCCATTTCAATGGCGCTCTAACTCAAATTAGTCACACTCACCGGGATCCGAAGATGCGTGGCGCGCCTGCAGCCCTGGCCGGGCGTGGGGAGGTGACGATCGCGGGGAACCGCCAGCTAGCAGCCGGGGTTGAATCAAGGCAAACCGCTTGCCTTACAAGGTTTGAAAAGTTTGAAAGGCCTCAGAGAGGGCACCACTTGTGGCGGGTTGGCTGGGCCAGCCAGTCAACCTCGGCAAGCGGCGCGAGAAAGTTTAAAGAAAGAAAAAAAGACTGCAGTCCAGAAATCAGTTACAAAGCATGCTCAGTTTAGTTGCAGGGGGAGAACAGCAAAAACTTCTTCCCCCCAGGTTTTTTTTTCTTCTTCCCCAAGTTTTTTCTCCTTCTTTTTTCCCCTCACCACTGGCATCTGCTTTTATTACTTCACACTTTTTACCTAGGCATTTGAATACAGCCAATTAGCCATCGTATACAAGCAGCCAACACCTTAATGCTTAGGTTACAAGCCTTATATGGTTACAAGCCTTATATGGTTACATAGGTAAATTACAATACTCTTGGTCTTCGTGTGGTACGTGAGTACAGCATGACCCAGCAATGAATTCCCACACCTGGCGAACCTCTTTGGGGAGCGCATTCCATAATCAGGGCACCACCACAGAGAAGACCCTCTTCCGGGTACCCTGTCTCCTAATGTCTTTCTCAGAGGATTCCTGGAGGAGGGCTTCTGCTGCTGATCTCGGGGCGGGCAGGCGGGAAAATACGGAAAAAGGCATCCCTGATCCCGAGCCATTTAGGGCTTTATAGGTTACCAGCACCTTGAATTGAGCCCGGACTTCGATGGGAAGCCAGTGGACCTGATATAGGACTGAGGTTATATGTGAATAATGCCCAGGCCCCAACAGCATCCTGGCAGCTCTATTTTGAACCATATGAAGTATCCGGACTGGATTTAATGGCAGCCCCACATAAAGCGTATTAGAGTCATCCAAATGGGAAGGAACCAATGTGTGTGTTACTGTTGCTAGGCAATCCTCCTCCAGGTAGGGACACAGCTGATAGATTAGCCAAAGCTGGAGGAAAGCACTCCTCGCCACCTCTGTCACTTGGGCTTCCAAGGACAGCTCCGGGTCGAGGAGCACTCCCAAGCTGTGGACCCCATCCTTTAGAGGGAGTGCAACCCCATCCAGGGCAGGGCCCAAGTCACCTACTCAGGAGCTCGAATCACCCATCAACAGGACCTCCATTTTATCTGGATTAAGCTTCAGTTTATTGGCCCTCATCCAGCCCATTACTTCGGCCAGGCACCATTTCAGGATAGCCACTGCCTCACCTGGGTTAGTTGAAAACGAGAGGTAGAGCTGGGTATCATCAGCGTACTGATGACTCCACAGCCCAAACCTCCTGATGACCTCTCCCAGTGGTTTCATGTAGATGTTAAATAGCCAGGGGGACAAAATGGAACCCTGTGGTACTCCATGGCAGAGTTGCCATGGCGCAGAGCAAAAGTCCCCCAGCACTCCCTTCTGAAATTGGCTGGCAAGGTAGGACCGGAACCACTGCCAAGCAGTGCCTCCTTCTCCCAATCCTGCCAGCCTATCCAGGAGGATACCATGGTCAATGATATCGAAAGCTGCTGAGAGGTCCAGGAGAACCAACAGGGATGCACTCCTCTGTCTCTCTCTCTGCACAGGTCATCATACAGGGCGACCAAGGTAGATTCAGTACCGTACCCAAGTCTGAAGCTGTACTGAAATGGGTCCAGATAATCAGTATCATCCAAGACTACCTGGAGTTGTTCTGCCACCACCTGCTCCAACACCTTGTCCAAAAATGGGATGTTGGCCACTGGTCTGTACTTGGCAGCCATCCCTGGATCCAGAGATGCCTTCTTTAGGACAGGTCTGATTACCACCTCCTTTAAAGGAGCGGACACCCAGCCTTCCCTCAGAGAGTTAGTTATTAAATGAATTAGTTATTAAACTAATATAACTCCCTGGTTGTTTCACCATTTTGGGAAAACGGGCAAATCATATGCTTGTGGAAGGATTGTGGCCTGCAATATTCGTGAGGGAAATAAGAGCTGCTCAGAAAGGGCTTGGAAAGAATACAGCACCCAGAGGAGACAGGATGGTAGCAGGAGCAATCCTAGAAGAGTAGAGTAGGAAGGAGCCAGGAAGAGCATGAGTCCAACTCCCAGTGGACCAAATCCGAACAAGAGTAAGCAGCCAATGTGGAGAATAATGCACGGCCCACTTGGGATGGCCCTGTGAGCATGGCTTACTGCAAGATTTCCTTTCCCCTTTCCTACCCTCCATCCTGGGTCTTGTGCCCCAGGCAGGAGGGCAGCAGGGGGCACTCACCGCTTCCATTCCCCTGCATGTGTTTTCTGATCTTCTGCCTCACAGACATTCAGACGCCCTGCATTTTTGCTCTGCAAAGGGGCCTGCATTGAGAGCCAGCCTTCTTGAACTCCAGGCAAAGCAAGGGCAGGAGAAGATGAACATCAGAGAGAAACAGAGAATGTGTGTGTGTCCCCAGAAGCAGCAAGGGCAGGGGAGGGGAGGGGAGGGGAGGGGAGGCTGCCCACCAACAGCAGGGGGCTCAGTAGCCTTTGGGCCAGTGTGGGCCCTGTGGCTGCGTGACTCCTTTGGACTTGCACTTCAGCTGGCCATTTCCGCTGTCCTCAAGTCTTGGCCATCAAGCCTTAACGGGACCAAATGATGCTCGTGGGGGCTGTCAGTTCTTCCAGTTCAGATGTGTATCTGAAGCACTCAGTGGGGTGGTCCTTGTCCTGAGGCTGCCAGGAAGCTCTAAGAGTGAGAAAGAAACCGACAATACCTGCCCACCAAAAAGGAAGTGGCCAGAGTGGGCATCGTGTCAGGAGCTGCCCACATTCCACTGCTCATGTCACCTCCTGAAAGGGCTTTCATACCAAGAAGACTTCCTGGTCAAAACATGGATGGTATGAGCCACTTGCATCAAACTTGTTTTCACACATTGACTCCCTGGTGTTAACTCTTCTGTCTGGAGCAGAGGAGAATTCCTCCGGCAAGCTCCAAGCAGAAGCACCTGGGTGAAGTGGAGAAGCACTCCAAAACCATGTCCCTCTAGACACTCCCGGAGAAACCCTTTCTCCGTGCCTCATGTGATCTAAGATGAAGCAGTGAAACGGGTTCAGAGAAGATTGTTTTGGAGACAGTTGTCTGGCAGTTCTTCACCCTCCTGGTTGAAGGCAGGAACTGAGATGCAATTGAACTGATTTGCAGGGTGGATCTTGGAAATTGACCACAGGTCAAAGACACCATTCCGGCAGGAGTGTCAGGACTGGATTCTGAGACTTGTGCACTTATACTTTCAAGGAAACCTTTCATACCACCTCTGGGTCCTCAGGAGGACTTCCTATATTTTTAGAGGGGCAAAAATGTGAAAATAGTTAATGATAGAAACCACTAATGAGATCAAAAGAAATAAAGAAATAAAAGAATATATGGGTTGCAATACGTATCAAATGTATGCTTTGCTTTTCACCATGAGATGATCCTTGGAATTCAGATCAGGCCTCACTAGAATAATGTAGCACTTGGGGAGGAAGATGCAGCCCAGCAGCCCAGCACTGGAGGCCAAGATGGAGAAGACCTGCACGGCCACCATGTACTTCCCCCTCGTGCTGAGGTAGGTGGGCACAAAGGACACCCAGACGCTGCAGAACATCAGCATGCTGAAGGTGATCAGCTTGGCCTCGTTGAAGGACCCAGGAAGTTTCCTGGCCAGGAAGGCCACTGTGAAGCAGATGGCAGCCAGGAAGCCCATGTAGCCAAGGGCAGTGTAGAACATGGCCACAGAGCCTTCGTTGCACTGCAGGATGATTTGCCCTGCCTGGGAGTGCATGTCAGAGTCAGGGAAGGGTGGAGTGGTCCCCAACCAGATGGTGCAGATGAGAATTTGGACACTGGAACACGAGATGACAATGGCATTGGCCAAACTCTTCCCCAGCCACTTCCTTGCCACATTCCCAGGCTTGGTGGCCAGGAAGGCCAGCACCACAGTGATGGTCTTGGCCAAGAGAGATGAGACAGCCACTGAGAAGATGATGCTGAAGGCCATTTGTCGTAGGAGGCAGGTCACCTTCCTTGGCTGGCCGATGAAGAGGAAGGAGGACAGGAAGGAAAGCAGGAGGGAGACAAGGAGAATGTAGGAGAGGTCCCGGTTGTTGGCCCTCACTATGGGGGTTTCCAGGAACTTAATGAAGATTCCTAACACAAATCCTGTCATAAAGGATAGGATCAGGGCCGAGGAAACCAGGGTGACTCCTAGGTAACCTTCGTGAGACAGGAAGGTGATAATCCTGGGGATGCATCGATTTCGGTCCTTGTTTGGATGCTGATCGGCTGGGCACTTGGTGCAATGCTCTGCATCTGGAAAGCACAGGAGAAATGTCAGTAATTCTCACCTTTGTGGACAAGCACAGATATTTTCTGAGATAGGAGTGATCACACATGTTACATTTCCGAACATTGCAATTGGACTTGATTTGAACTGTGGGAACGGAAGCTGCCAAAGCCTCCTTCTTTTCAATAAAGTGTTTTGTGAGTGTTCTAGATTTTGTTTCCCTGCTATGACAGTGGGCATGCACCAAAGAACCCATGACCAGTCCATCTACCATGGCTTATTTGCAGGGTGGCTTAGCATGATAGGACAGTTCACACACCTGCTTGATGGATCAATGCCCACCTCCCCAGGTGTGCATTTTCCTTCGTGGTCACTCACCTTCCTGGGTGGAGATGGTCCCTTCCGCACATGGAGTGCAGTCATAGCAGCAAATGAGCTTTCCTTCCTGAGCCACCTTGAAGAATCCCGGGCGGCAGCTCTCCACACACCTGGATTGGGGCAGGGGCTGAGTGGAGAAAGAAGGACCATCAAGCAAAATTGTGTGGAATGGGGAAACAAAGCTGGACCAAAGAGGAGAGGAGACAAGGCAAAAGGCAAGACGGCAGGAGCCTGGTAGAAGTTAGGCAGGAACGGTTCCTGCGTCAGGGACTATCCCTGTTCCATTCTTAGGTTTTCCTGCTAAGAAACAGGCAGAATTGTACCCACGCAATCCCTAGAGCTCAAGAAGGAGGATGATAGTTTCATTGCTCTGCCACATGAACATGCAGTTCATCAAACCCAGATGCCCTGCTTAAATCTCCAACGGCCGTTGGTGATCTTCCCCAAATGTGGAAGGATAAAAATTACCGGAAACACTCTTTGCTGAGCCTTGTCTCCTTCCTGAAGAGGATCCCCTGCTGGTCCAAATACACAGTAATGGACAGGGTTTAGCAACAGATCACAGAGGATGCAGAGGAGCAGCATTCATGCAGTCAGTTGATGTCCTATGACTGGATTGGACCTGGTGAAGCAGAAGTGACTTACATTCCCTCCCAGGACATGCATTCTCTCTATGAAATGCACTGGCTCAACCTAACGCTCATCAAGACATGTGAAACACATGGCATGAAAGGAAAGGCATGGCTCTTCCTCACCTTGTTGAACCACTTGGGCCACACGATGGCATCTTGGTCCAAGGTGAATTTGGGCCCAGGTGATCGCTGCCTTTCTAGGCTCCCGAGTTTCACTCTTACGACAGACAAGTTGGGAAACTTGACCCAGTTCACAAGGTCCAAATTGGCTGCCAGCTCTCCGTTCTCATCCAAATACACCCCGTCAACTGAATTATTGTGAAACTGTGGGTCTCTTAGGAAAGGGCGAAGCTGGGATGACAGATAAATCAAATGCTTTGAGGAAACAACAAGCCACATTTCATCTCCCAGATATCTCTTGGGGTTGAATCCAGAGTCATGTGGCAGGGAATGCCTCCTTTTATGAAACAGGATTCTGACTTTCTCTCTGGATGCCCTTGGTTGGCTTTAGGGATTGCGAAAACAGGCACCATTGGAACCTACAAACTCTTTTGGAATCCAGGACGGATATTAGTTGCTTTAAGGTGAAGATTTTGGGAATCCTTCCAAAGCAGCAAGTTGTCAGTCCTGCAGCAGGGCTGAGATCCTTCTCAAACTGACCTGAGATTTCAGTAAACTGCATTTGGGAGCATTTACTCCTGAGAAGGCTCACTAAGGATGGCATCATAAATATTAGGATGGTGAATGATTGGGGCAGAATGGGAATCTCTTACACACACATCACATTTCATAAGATCAATACAGTGGAGAAAACTAAGGGTGAATTCAGAGCAGAACTATTGCCTGCTTGGTGCCAGTGATGGGTTTAATGCAGAAATGTAATGCAAGGCATCGCAAGTGAAAGGATGGGGGACAGCAGAGGTTGCAGCAGGACCTGGAAAGTCAAAAAGAGGCAGTGGATGAGGCCAGAAACTAACCCAGGGTCCAGCAGGGTTTGCAAAGTCCCTCAGAGGGTGAATGGGTCGGGCCACTTGCCCACGCACACTCAGGGCTTGAGAATGGGTCAAGTGCGGGTTACCATTCAAATGTGGATTATGGAGGAAGCAGGGATATTATGTGGTCTGAACTGAGCCAAGATAAGCTGTGACTTGTTCACCACAAACAACCCCGGAAGAAAAATGCAGATTTGTGGCTACATTTGTGAATCTCTGTCTCAAGCAAAAGGGACACTTTGGTTATCAACACACCCAACTGTTGTGAGTATGCTATCATGTTGCCTGAACCTAATCCATCAAGTAGCTAGAGCAATTTGGACTCTTTCAGAGTGGCAAGATGGGGGATAATGTGAGACAGTGTGGAGTTAAACCATCACTGGTGGCATCAGCAGGGGGATTGCATGCTCTGAACCTAGAAAGAGAGCAGCACGGAGTGCATTACAGCCTCATGGACATGCAACGTCTCACCTCCGTTCTCATACCCTCCACCCAGGGCAATAATTCTGGACTGAGCAACTCATGATCACCAAGGCTGGAATGAGTCTACCTGCCATGGTTGAAGCCTGCGAACCTCCAGCCTGTCTCCACCTTCCATTTCCACCTTCCTGATTCTAGAGGAGAAGGCAGCATCCATGGCATGGGCCACTGCCTGGACGGTGCTGTAAGAGAAGTAGCTGTCCAGGGACAGGGCTCTCTCCCTGTCTTCTTGGGGAAAGGACTCCAGCTTCTGGGATTCCCTGCATCTTGTCCACATCTTCACTGATGTCACATGCTCAGAATACGAGCAATTAAATGACATATTCACAAAGTCCTCCATATCTAAGAAGAAATCTTCAGAATCCTCATAGTTTGTCCCTTTATTTGTCTGGAGGGTGAAGGAAAATAAACCACAGACATCTTCTAAATAGACACCAATGTATCTCAAATCCAGGGTAAGGTCCCACATAGCTGTGACAATCCAGATTTTCCCAACAGTGCGTTTCATCCTGTTCTCAAGCGTTATTTGCACAATGAATATTCCATAGAGGAAGGAACTGGTCTCTGCACAATAAATATAGAGATTGACTTGTCCCAACTTATTCCATGTACCAGAACGGAGCACTAAAGAATCTGCTTTCACTGCCTCCAGGGTTTGTGAAACAAACACACAAATGCCATTCCTGAGGAGCTCAGGGGTCAAGGATCTCATAAACTTGTGGCCATTATCAGTGTCTAGAGCAAGGAGACCAACCATTGTCCACTTGAAATGCCGCAGCAGTTGGACGATCCCCAGGTACTGCACCCCTTCTTTGGGGACCATCCGGAAGAGAAAAGGGAACTGAGTTTGATCGCTCAGAACCTGAGAAGCAAAGGCATAAACAACCTGGGAAAGAATGGAGGAGAATGATGGGTTTTTCATTGCAGAAGAAAAGTTAAAGTCTCCAGGTGATGAGGTTATAAGTTATCATGCATATAAAACACTCTCATCCCAAGGAAAGCAGTACTTTCTATTAAGCATCAAGGTTTCAGGTTTCATAGTTGTAAAACACTGGAAAAATGGATGACCTGAAAGGCCAGAATTAGGGTTTGGATGAGCCCTGTTGGAATCTGCACATCTAGCAGCCACACACTTCTCATGCTGCACCCAGGGGACATGACGGATCTGGACCCCGACATGGATTCCCTGCACCTCCCCAGTCTGAACTATGCAGCAGCTCCTGAGCTTCCATACTGGAAGGCAGCTCCCGACTGTTCATCCCACCTTTCCAGTGGGGCAGGAATGCACAGTTCACGCTTTGTTCCCCCTTCATCATGGCCCAACCTTTGCAGAATGCAGAAGGGGAGGAAAGGAGCCTCAATAGTCACTTGCCACCTTGTTCTCCCTTGCAGTCCAGGAATGCTCCTTCTTTGTAAATCTGCATGCGGAAGGGGAGTAAAGGACCCACATTTAGTGTCCACTGTGGAATTTTTCCTGTAAACAGAAACAGCATGTCCAGACCAGTGCAGAGTGAGGCCCTGGAGCAGGTACATGGGTCCTTTGGACTGTTGCATCCTGTAGCTGATACATGCTGCCTGTCTTAATGGGGTCTGACACACCCATTGAAGCTCTTTGGATAACTCTTGATTCCTCTAGAGAGGATATGCCAGGAGGTCAACTGAACCTGAACAGGCTTCCCAGCCATATCCCACCTGCGGGAATTTGTAGATGCCCAACATGTTCGAAATCTGGACAGAGTTGTCGGAGTCCAGTGCTTCAAGAATAGCCAACCAGTGGTTCTTCCTCCCACAGTTGTAGTTGGGAACATTGGTTGGGCCCACTGAGAGCAGGTCTACGGCTGCGTCGGAAGTCATTCTGGCGTCGTTATAGGTGTCGTACACATTGTAGCCCAGGGAGAAGTTAGGAAGGAGGCCGGGATTCTGGTTGATCTCCTGAATGGCAAAGAGGAAGGAGAGAATCTTCTCATAATAAGTGCTTCCTGCCCTGAAAAAAAGAGAAGAAAATGTTTGTCACCCACCTGTCCCCCCTTCTCCATGCGTCTTGGCAATGGCCAATCATGGTTTACTTTTATGAGGAGTTAATAATTTGGATCCCTCTCTTCGATGTGCACCATAATGTGAGGGTGTTTGAGAGTAACCAAGAAGCTAAGAGCAAATCAGTCCAAAATGGAACTAGATGTGGTGCCAGAAGAAGAGACCCCAAGCTGGAAGGCACTCAGTGAACTACTCGGGCAGAGCAAAGGACAAAGGTGAAAGCCCCGATGCTGGTGACACACCTGGACCAGAGCTGCGAGGAAGCCTAGACTGACTTGCACAGAGCTGAAAGGTGGGGCTGAGGCTGCACAACACACACATTTGGAACATGGAACACAAGCAGTAGCAGTCAAGGCAAAGTTGAAGCAACAAAGTGAGAAACAGAACTGATAAGCCCCACAGTCCTTGGAGTCAGTGAACTAAAGAGGAGAGGAAAGGGTCATTTTCAGTCAGATGCAAAGTGCATTGAAAGCTATAATGAGAATTCAGACTAGCTAATATTGGTCAGAATTCATGGAAAACCTGCCAGCAGCACCATGATTCAGACCTATGCTCTGACCATGGAAGCTGAAGAAGAAATGATAAACTTTTATATAGGTGTACAAGAAGAAATTGGTAACACACCAGAACAAGACATGGTGCTAATCTTGGGGGTCTGAAACACAAAGTTGGAACCAAAGCAGAATCAGATGTTGTAGGAGAATTTGGCCTAAGGGTCAGACAAAGTGGCAGAATAGCTCATAGATATCTGAGAATCCACCAGACCGTTTATTGCGAATTCATACTCCAGCAGCCAGTCAGACAACTGTATACATGGAAATGCACACGAACATCAGCAGACAGGCAATACAGAAATCTGGCAGACTTTGTGATTGGAAGCAGAAGAAGATAATAGTGACTTGTGCTACTGAAATCATTGACCACGAGCCAGAAGAACTGTGGACTGAAACTAGGGAGCTTGAGGGGAAAATGCCAAAACACATTTCCTGAGGCGAAAAGAAAGGAAATCCTAGATGGATGACAGAAGGAAGGGTCACCATTGCCAAGGACAAGTAAGAAGCAAAAGTCAAAGGTCAGGGCAATGGGGTCAGAATCCTGAATGGAGATTTTCAGCAACTACCAAGTAGAGACAAAAAGAAGTTTTATGATGACCAGAGCAAAGAGAAAGGGCAGAATGACAAAAGGGGGAAAACAAGAGACCTCTTTCAGAGCTTCCAATAAATCAAAGGAAAATTCAATCCTCAGTGGGAAGGGGGAGGGGGAGACTAACTGAGCAGGAAAAAAGAAGAGAAGATGGAAACAATATCCAGAAAGACAAAGCAAAGAAGATAAAAAGAGGGCAGACTTCAAAGAGGACTCTGCTGAGGAAACACCTGCAGTATTTGAAAGCTGCTCCAAAAGGACTTGGAAGGAAGAAGGAACCTCCAGTGGAGAGGATGTCAGCTGGACCCCTCCAACCTGCAGAGACATAGAAACATGGAGACCAACTCCTAGCAAGCATATTCCAAGAAAATGGGAAATGAAGCCATGGCCCACATAGTGGGAACATCCAATATACATCCCAGTTCCCCAGAAAGGAGAGATGAAGAGTGCAGCAACCAAAAGACCATTGCATCAGTGGCCACTCAAGCAAGCTGATGCTCAGGGTGCTGAAACACAGGACTTCACCCTGTACCGACTGGGACATGCCTGGTGTTCAAGCGGATTCTGAAAAGAAAGAGGCCATTGAGATCCTTTTGCACAGGTACCACGGCTTCTCGAGTGCAGCAAGGAACCCTGAGAAAAGCAGATTTGTCGCAGAACCATCTCTGTATTGACCTGCAATAAAACTAAAACATTCCAAATCACTTTGGCCGTCACCTTTGAGGTCACATGTAACTCTGCATTATGCCAGTACCACTTTCCAGATGCCATCTGAGACCCAACTCAAGGATATATGCCCAGCCTCAAATACCATCCTACCAGCTTCACAGGCAGATTTTGGGCAGCTGGTTGTGTAGCTTGTTTCAGTGTCAAGATCCTTTATTCAATTATAAAGAAGCCTGGTACAAAGTATGCTCTAAGGCTGGGATTCAGTACAGCTTTCCAAGGCCATTGAAAGGAAAAACTCATGAAAGGACAATAGAAAAGGCTGAATTCTTGGGGGACACTCAACGGCAACCCCCTCCAACCTGGATCCGCCAGTTTTCCTGGATTCCAATCCACAGCGTTGCTGAACTGTCCTCACAGCCCAGCTAGTTCAGGAAGAAAAGACCCCAGATGAAATTGCGGTGTGTTCACATGGCAAACAATCCCACAGGCCAGGCTGGTCATGGGAATTCATGCAGTGACTTACCAAAGCCATCCATGAGAGGCTGGCTTGTTGAAAGAGTGTGGCACGAATTGTACACGCTCTGCAGAGATGCCCGCACTGATGACATAGTCTCCTGGCCTGTAGTAATTCCGGGGGTGAGCTTCATCCCTTTCCCAGCTCCAGGGGCACCTGGCCTTGGGCATCCCCCAGGAGGCCTCTGGGTGAAGCAGCAGCAGCAGCAGGAAGAGTGGCCTGGCTGTTGGTCTGCCAGTCACAGCCTCCAGCCTCCTCTTGTGGCTAATTCGAGAAAGGATTAAGAGAACCAGGACCTCCTTTGCAAGTGACAGACCCTGCAGCTTTCCAAGTTGAGACGGAGCCTGGGCAGCCATGGCTCTGCATCCAGAGGGGATGAGAGGTTGCCCCATGCACTAAACCTTCCCTAAGTGCTCAGTGGCAGAGGAAGCATGGATGTGCCTTCCCTTTGGCCTCTGTACATGTATCAGCCACTCATCCTGCTCTTGAATCAGATGTTTCCATCAGTGGACTCAAGGGAGGTCTGTCATGCTGGCCCATGAGGATTCCACAGAGCTGTGCAAGACTAGCAGTAAATCACTCTCATTTCCATAATTATATGGAAATGTTTGGAACAGCTCTGAAACTTTCTGAAAGTTTTGCTCAGTGCCATGGGCAGGGATGCAGCTGGAGAAACATAAGCTCCTGGGAATTCCTGATGCTGCTCCTTCGAGGCAACCAGGATGGAGGGATCTGTGCACTGCAATAAGCCTGGAAGAGGTGACTTTCTGCCTCACATGTTCACTAACTTTTCCCCAGCATGGCAGCTCTTTAGGAAGGGAAAGTGGCCCAGGACAAACTGTTACCCTTAAATTTGTTTCTCCCATTTTGGGGAGCTCACCCAAATCCCCTGGAGGTTCAACTCAAGAGAATCTCTACCTGGTACGACTGCTGTCTCCACGAGGCTGAATACTATCCCCACTTTTATCCAGTGTGGGGTCCAGGGAATGCCTCCAAAACTTTCCAAACTCGCTTTTCAACTCCACGGGCAGGTGCACAGCTGGAGAGAAGCGTGTGTGGGAACTCCCGGGTGCTGCTCCCTCGTGTGGAACAGGGTCAAGGACTCCTTCAGGCTGGGCAGTCTGCAGTTCACCTTGAAGGACCCTGTGCTGCAGCACCTGCCATGTACTTCCCAAGTGTTGTGCTCTTGGCTTTCAGGGGATCTTCTGGAGGAAGGAATGTGGCCAGGAGAAAACTCTTGCTGTTAAGTCTTCTTGGTCCCTTTTCTTTGGGGCACAGGAATGGACTGACCTTGGGGGATCCCTAACTTAGGTGACACACATTTTCTGACATCAGAAAGGAACCCCGGGCCACACATTGAGATCTGTGAGACACTGAGCTATAAATTCAGATACAATATTGCATAGATGGCACAACCTATGTAGGATGGGAGTGGGACCGGTACCTCCAAAGTCTTTGCCAGGTTCCAGGGCAAACGCCCCCTTCCAACGCCTGCCCCGTGCTGGTACTTGTCCTCCTTGAATATTTTCCAGGGCTGCCACCATGTTTGCTCACCTGGATGCATGCGCTGGGTCCGTGTGTGCCCACCCATCGGATCCAGTGCATCATCTCTTAATCTGAGCCCTGGAAGGGTAACACTCCCCCTGCCTGACTCTCAAAATTAAGCAGAGAGAGCTCCACCATGTGCCCTCCCATGGGATCCAGTGGGGGCAAAAGGGCTGGACTGCAGGCTGGGGAGATTGGGCTTTTAGTTCCCTCCTCGGCCACGAAGCTCACCTAGTGACTTTGGGACAGTCACTCGCCCTCAGCAGAAAGTGCTTCACAGGGTGGTGGTTGTGCAGATGAACTGGGGGGAGGAAGGGCAGGTAAGTCACTTTGGGTCCCCTGTGGGTGGAAGCAAGCAGCATAGACCTCGATGGTAGTGGTGAGGACAATGGACCACCTGTGAGCATAGACAACATGATGGACGGCCTCCCCAGTGCGAAAGCTGCAAATACCGTGCAGCGTTTCACTCTGTAGATACTGCTGGGCTGGAGCCCTGTTCCAAGGTGATACCAGCGATGAGGAGCAATGCATTCATGAGTTCCCAAGAAGATGAGCTCCCTTCTTCTTGCCATGAAGAAGGCTGGAATTCAGAACCTCCAAAGTGGCTCTGAAATGCCACCCGTTTCTTGTGCCAGCCCAGCTAGAGGGGCACAGGCGAGGAGTTCTGGTGCCTGCATGAGAAGGTGGTCCAACGTGGAGGCACTCAGAGGTATCACTCCCTGGAGAACTCTCACCAATTCCTCAAGTTCATTTCACAACTGCTTTCATTGTCACTCTTGTGTTTTGCCCCAGACCAAAGGGCACCTTAGCAAATCTGATGCCCAAACACTGGACACAGTATTCTGGATAAGGTCTGACTATTGCAGGGTATAGGGGACCTATCACATCTCGTGATTTGGAAGTACTTCTATTAACACATCCCAAAATAGTATTTGCTCTTTTTGCAGCTGCCTCACACAGCTGGCCTGTGGAGCCTCTCACCTGAAACAGTGCACCTGATCTGACTACAGAACTTAGCAGTTTGGTTTAATCATTCATGAATGGAACTTAATAAAAAAAAAATTCCTGGCAGAATGCAATGGTTTAATTTAATGGCAGGAAAGGACTTGACTGGAGCCAAACCGTCATAAAGAACCTAGTGGGGTTTCCTCGCTTGCTTGCTCTTACAGAGAACCCATGCAGCCTTGGCCTGTGGCAGTGTCCTCTCTCATGAATTTGGTTCTTCAGCACATAGAAACGTAGCAATATAGAAACAGAGTGAGTCAGAAGGGGTCTCCTGGGCCATCTAACCTGATCCCCGGCTAAAGCATTTTGTTGTCTACATTTCTGGTAAATTGTCTGCTTCAGAATATTGGATCCTTCTAATTATTAGCAGTTTGGTTTAATCATTTGTGAACAGGATTTCATCAGAAAAGTCCTGGTGGAATGCAATTGTTTGCTAACCGCTACGGCTGAACTTTGCAAGAGAACAGAGAATCCAGTGCTTATCCACAGAAAAAGTGAAGCGAAGTATGTAAGTTAGGCCTTGATGTAAGCCAGAAAAACGGTGTGGCAAATATCAAGGTGAGTGGAGACTTGTCCAAATGGAAAGCTGCAAAAAAGAGAAGTTTTTCAAAACCTTTAAGAAATATTTAAAAAAGAGAAATAAAGGATTCGGCAATGTAATAATTTTCTCAAAGGTTTCTAACCTGTTCAATGACTCCCTGAGAAAATGAAATCTTCAGAGCAGCCATGTAGGTACTGCTAGCCAGTGGAATGGACCCTCCAACCCACAGGGCCCTGGACCTGCTCCTCCAGCTGGGGTTGAGCCTCCTGCCTCTGCTGGGGCTGGTGGGATCCAAGTCCCCCCCTCTGCATCACACCCACGAGATGCAAGCCAAGAGCCTTGGCAATGGGACCTCGCTGCTGGAGGACACTGAGAGACCTCCCAACAATTCCATTTGCACAGAGGAGCCCATATTTGTTAAGGGCACCTCTACATCAGACCAATGCTTTATTCCTCGTCTAATGCAAACATTCACTCCGGAGGGTAGAAAAGTCAGCTGTAATAATTCTTAATAGAAGATTTCTCTTTGTAGTACAAATGCTCCACTTTAACACCTCACTTGGGGAAAGGGACTTGGAGCAAACAACTTCATCTCACCCAGAAAATATCTCAACTGAAGAAGGCATTTGCCAAGTTTGCCTGCTGGCCCATTTCCTTTCCCTACCAAGTGCTCTGCAACTTCTCCCAGCATCAGTTCTGGATGTTGTTGGTAGTCGCAAAGACATGCCCGACCCATCATGACCCCATGGACAACATTCCTCCAGGCTCTCCTGTCCTCTATCATCCCTCAGAGTCCACCGAAGCCCACACCCACCGCCCCAGTGACTCCATCTATCCACCTAATCTTCTGCTGCCCCCTCCTTCTTTTGCCATCTATCGTTCCCAGCCTTAGACTCTTCTCCAGGGAAGTCCTTCCTTCTCGTTAGGTGGCCAAAGTATTTGAGTTTCATCTTCAGTATCTAGCCTTCTAAGGAGCAGTCGGGGTTGATTTCCTTTAAGATTGACTGGTAGTTCTGGATGACACGCTCCCAATTCTGGTCTCTGCTGATGAGGGGGAAGACTAAGGGGGGAATGCTATCCCTCTATAAGTATCTCAAAGGCTGTCACAAAGAGGAAGGTCAAGTTCTCTTCTTGTGGATGCCAGAATGTAGGACATGGAATAATCAATCCAAGGTGTGACAACCCAGACTCAGGAAAAACTGCCTCACTGTCAGAGCAATACAACAGCGGAACCAGCTGCCTAGAGAGGTGGTGGGTTCCCCACACTAGAGTCCTTCAAAAAGAAAATGGATGGCCATCTGAGTGGGTTGGTGTAAATTGGTGTCCTGCAGCAGCAGGGGCTGGACCCAATGGCCTTCATGGCCCCTTCCAACTCTGCTATTCTATGATTCTTATTGGCAACATGTTAAAGGGATGGCTTTCCAGCTGAACAGCAGGGCAACTTCAGAGACCTGGTGCTTGGCTTTAACCCCGATTTGCAGGCTGCTGGTGCTTTTTTCTAAATACGGGCATGTGGGCACTGGCTGCACCAGCAATTGATTATTTTTGAGGAAAAGAATTCCACAACTTCTGTATGGTGCAGAAATGTTGGGGTGCACTGACCTCTCCATCCAAAAAGTATTTCAGGACTCCTTTTGGAGAGCTTTGTTAGATGCCCCTCAAAAGGGCAGAAGCAAAAGTCTTCTCGAAAAGAAAACTTGTTCATACTGCTCCTGCCCTCTACTGGTTGAAGTTCTCATCTATGGGGGGGACTTCCAGTTTGGGTCATGGCGGAGTGGCTGTGAATAGCGAAATCTCTAACTATCACACTGGTGTTTGTTTGACAGAAGCCCTGGGAGGCTTATCTAAGCCCTGTCGGGGTGAAGATAAATTGTCCGGGCACTTCTTCTAATTGTGCTTGGTGGCAGCTCCATATTTATTAGAAGAGATCTGGGCTTTTCTCAGTTGGACAACACAGGGGAGAGATAAGCTCCCTTCAAGCCATCAACAGCTGGACAATTAACATAATTAGCTGAAAGTTCATCGGACTGCTGGGTTAGCATTTTTATCTTGTTCTCTTCTATATTACTTTGGAAAGAGCAATACAGCTTCTAATTTGGCATAAAGAAGAAAGGAGGAGACCTTTGATGGAGGGAGGAATTCCTCCCCCCCCCACCACCACCACAGAGTTCTAAGTGGCAACTGATCCGGGGGAGACAAGAGGAAAAATTGAGGCTTGAGAGAAGGATCCTTTTTCTCTAACCTCCCCAAGGGTGAAGAATTAGAATAAATTATTTTGAAATGATGTGATAGAAGATAAAAACTACACTGATTGGCCATTGTCCCTCTCTTCTTCTTGGACTCTCGCCAAAAAAAAACAACTGGACCTTAGCCAAGTTGAAATTCGTCATTTTTTCCCACGCTGGACAAAGGAGGACTGTAAAGAATGCTTTCTGCTGCCACCCGGTGGCTATTTGGAGTATAGCAAGTATTTTTATCTTCTATATTTTTCCTTTTTTTTTTGCTGCTGACCATTATGGAAGAGGTAAAGTCGACACTTCTGGCAATACAGGAATCCTTAACAGCTTTGCAAATATCCCGAAAGGTGATGTTAATACAAGAAATCTTTTCAATTGAACAAAAAGAATGTTTTGATAAACTTGATTCTTCTTTTAAGGAGGCTTTGGTAGCTGTACAACCTAAACTTGAACAGAATACACAAAAAACACAACAAGCATATGGAAAATTTGAAACCATGGATAAAGAAATAAAATTAGTAAAACCAATAAACAAGCTATCATGGGATTCACTTGTTACATTAGAGAGAATCGATTTTGGCTATTAAAAGAAGGAACATTTTTTACTGGGAAGAACGAAGGATGGATGGATTCCGAATTAACTACATATTATGTTGTGGAAGAAGAAACAGTGAATACTGAGTTTCAGCAAGAAATACAGTCATACAACAAGTGCTACATTTACTGAAAACAAAGCAAGCAATAGTGGATATTGATTTGCAACAAGAAATACAGATATTGAAGAATAATGATTTACAACAAACACTACACCTATTGAAAACAAAGGAAGAGAAATGGGGCAGGGGTGTAAAGAAGAAATAAAAGAGAATTTGTTATCTCAAAAAGGAATGATGTAAATTGGTTGGCATGTTTATTGTGGTATGGAAAGGCTAAATTATATGATTCTTTTGTTCTTAAGTTACTATACTAGAAAATTAATAATGTTGGTGGAAGAAAACTTGTACTAAAAGGGTTTTTCTTTCTTTCTTTCTTCTTCTTACCCATGGAAGCTTCTCTATGTTTAAATGCATTGAATTCTGAAGAGATCATAAGATATGATCTAAACTGAGTTCAGAAATATAAGAACAGGGAGATGAGCTTTTCTTTTGTTGGTGACATAAGAGATAGATACAATTGAAATATGTTAAAGATCATAATGAGTGGGGCTTTTATAAGG